AAGAATGGGCACTAAAACTTTAAGGTGTGTTTATAGGAGGAAATTTTTAAATTAAGCCTGGCACTCACGAGAATGCACTGGACCGAAAGATCAATTTGAACCACAAGGTCGGCGGTTCAAACTCAAACAGCTACTCCTCAGAAACCCTATATAGGGTCACTATGAGTTGGAACAGATTCAACAGCACTTAACAACAAGAAGCCAGTAATAGGATTTTTTTTTTTTTCTTTTTAGGAAAAGAACATCAATAATTCTATTTTAGTAGCCCAGCTTAAAGAAGACCGGTGGTCTAAACAAGCCCGTAGAGATCTGGTGTGCAGTATTGACCATTTGACTAGTAATACAGTTCTTAGTAAGGAGCTCTGGTAGTGTAGTGGTTCCAAGTCGGGCTGCTAAACTCAAAGTCAGCTAGTTTGAAACTACCAGTGGTTCCACAGGAGAAAGATGAGGCTTTCTGCTCCCGTAAAGATTTACAGCCTCGGAAGCAGTATAGAGACAAAATAGTACCTGAACTAGTGCGGGGGTAGGAAGGAGGAAAGCCAGCCTTGCATATTCTGCCCTTTTAGGAACTATCCATACAGGATCAAAGTGATAGCAGCAACATGGAGATTAGAAAGGAACCTTCAACTGTGCACCTGTCAGAGAGGAACAACTTAGGAAGGGAGGGTAAGAGTGCGTGCCCAACGAAGGTCAGCACTGTCACTGAATTGTGCATGGAGAGATGGTTGAATTGGAGAAAGCAAAACAAAACCCGAGACCCAGGCTGCGCCTTTGTTATGCACCATCAAGTTGGTGCCAACGCATAGCAACCCTGTATAGTGTTTCCTAGGCTGCACATCTTTATGGGAGCAGAAAGCCTCATTGTTCTCCTGTAAATCCTGATGGATTTGAGCTGCCAACCCTGCAGCCCAGCACATAACCCACTAGGCCACCAGTGCTGTGCCCTATACAGAATCTCTTTATAGGTCAGGGTCCAAGCAATGTATTTTTAATAAAGTTCCCCTGTGGATTCCAAGGTGCAGCCAAGTTTGAGAGCCAGGAAAGTTGGGCACTTCACCATGTAAAATGGGCTCTTGGTGAGTCTCAGTCAGTGGAGGTAGTTGAAATGGAAGTTAATTCAAGCAGAGCATTTTTCTTATTGATTGGAACATCCTCACTGTACCTAGTCTGTCGTTGTTAAGTGCCGTCAAGTTGGTTTTGACTCATCATGACCCTGTGTAGGGTTTCTGAAGCCTAGCTGGTGAGTTTGAATTGCGGTAATCTCATGGTGCTGTAGCTAATGAATCAGACTGCAAAGTTGTTTGAACGGCAAGCTCGGTGGTTCAAGCTCATCAGGTACTCCTTGGAAACCCTATACAGGGTCGCAATGGGTCAGAATCGACTCGACGGCACTTAACAACAACAAATCTCTCATAACAGTACCTACTTCTTTGCTATCTAAATTTCAAGCTCAGGCAGATTTGAACTGCTTACCTTGTTTACAGTCCAATGCTTACTGTACAGCGCCACACCAGAAGTCCTTTTAGCTGCATACTTGTTAATATATTGGAGTTCTATGGGACAAATGCGTTTGTAATTCAGAGACAGTGTGCTGTTTTGGCTTGGGCAAAATCTGAAGTTGTCTTTGCTGCCTCAGAGTGGCCCCGGTTTATGGTGACCCTCACACAATGAAACACCTTGCTACCCAACCTTGGGCCACTTCCCAGTGAGAGGTGAATTGGACCACATTGGTCTGTAGGGTTTTCGTTGTCTTTTTTGGGGAAGGAGATAGTCCTAGGCCTTTCTTTTGAGTCTGGAAGCTCCAATGAAACCAGTTTAGTATCTTAGCAGCACACAGGTTGTTCATCAAGTGCACTGACTGGGAATTGAACTGGGACCTCCAGTTCAGCTGTCATTGAACCACAACTGCCTCTTAAAGTCTGAAGTGAAATTTCAAAATATCAAAGAGTTAGACCAGTGTGCACGCTGTCTGGTCCTGAATTGTGCTTGTAAGCAAAGCAGAGCTTCCCATTTTCCATCACTTGTATTATCTTTTTTGCCTTTCAGATTTTATTCATTGCCTTTGGTGTTTGAAGATGTTTGAACCTTCCTTAGGTAAATGGGACTTTTTCTTCATTACCATCAAAATGCCACTTTAAGACTGTTCTAAAAGCCAAGATGGTAATTAAGCAGCTAAGAAGTACTGATGTTTGCCCCAGCAGAAAATGAAAGCAGTGAGTTTCCTGCAGGGGCCACTTTTCATTGACAGAAAGCAAACTCTGCACCCAAGTGGCCATCAGCTGCTGTCTCATCCTGAGCCAGGAATCCCAAAGGAAGGACACTAGCCAGGCAGCACTAAATGGGGGACCCTTGGGACTTGAGCTTGAGAATGAATCTCCCCACCTAGGGCTTCCCCAGCAGGAGTCCCTGTCTGTGCCTTTTTTTGTAGAGTAAACAGACCCAGAGACATAAGTAACTTGCCCAAGGTTACACAGCAAGTAAATAGAGGAGACAGGATTGGAACCCTGGCTGTTTGGCACCCGAGTCTGTTCTCCTGAAAAACGATGCTATCCTGGTAGCATAGTGGTTACGAGTCGGGCTGTGAACCTTAAGGTCAGCGGTTCGAAACTACCAGTCGCTCCGTGGGAGAAAAATTAGGCTTTCTACTCCCGTAAGGATTTACACCCTCGGAAACCCTGTACAGGGTCACTATGGGTCGGAACCGACTCAAAGGCACTTAACAACAATGGAGCTCTGATAGCGTAGCAGTTACGAATCGGGCCGCTACTGTCAAGGTCGGCAGTTCGAAACTACCAGCGGTTCCGCGGGAGAAAGATGAGGCTTTCTGCTCCCATAAAGATTTGCAGCCTTGGAAACCCTGTGCAGGGTCACTATGAGTCGGAACCGACTCCACGGTACTTAACAACAACAACAATCCTGAGAGGGGTTATGAGTGTCCTGGTCCTTGGCCTGGGTTTCCAAAACCAAGCCCACATTATGTAACAGCCCTTCCCCCCCCAACATCCAGAGTATATAGTTATCTGTCAGAAGGTTGGTCCAATAGGAGCTTCGCCTCCTTTGCTGGAAGCTTTTTGCATTTTCGACCTCAACCTCAGACTGCTGGTTTTAAGTGCCATTCAGTCAGTTCTTAGCAACCCTGTGTAGGGTTTCCAACGGGTGGCTGGTGAGTTTGAACACTAACCTTATGATTCAAACTGACCTTTTGGCCGAGTGCTTATCCCATAGTGCCATACCAGGACTCCTGATAATTCAGAAATGATCCCAGACAGCCCAGAAATGACGTCAAGCTGCTCCTAGTCCTGGCATGGTGCTGACTGAATTTCTAAACACAAGGTTCTCCTAGGAAAGCCTATACAGCATGGCTGTGAGTCAGAACTGACTTGATGGCACTTCACGGCAACAGGCCTATACAGGGAGCGCGGTGGCTCAGTAGGATAAATGCTGAGGTGACTTGAGTCCAGCAGCCGCTCCTGAGGAGAAAGATGAGGCTTTCTGCTCCCGTAAAGTTTTACAACCTTGGAAATCCTATACAGGGTCACTTTGAGTTAGAACCAGCTTGACAGCGCTTAACAACAACAAGGCCTGTGCATTACTTTGTGATGAGCAGAACCAAGAGAGTGCCATTATCTTTCGGTCTCCAGAAAGTTCATTTTGATTGGGCCAGCTTAAGTTACAAGCCTACTTGTGAATCAGTATTTTTTTTTTTAAATGAATACAAAATGCACATAGCATGAAATATACCATTTTAAGGTATACATGCCAGTGTTTTTAAAGTCATATTTACTGTGTTATGAAAATCATCACCCCCGAAAGAAATCCTGTACCTCCCAATTCCGCCCTCCACCTGCTTTCAGTCACTGATCTACTGTCTGTCTCTGTGGATCTGCCTGGTATGGGCACTTTCTTACAAGTGGTATCATTCATCATTCAGTATGTGGCCTTTTGTAATGATCGCTCCCCCCCACACACACACACACACACCAGCTTGGGTTTTTCAGGGTCCGTCCATGTTGGAACATACTTCAGTACCTCCCTGCTTTTTATTGCCTGATACTGTTCTTTTGTACAGAAGTCGTTGTTGTTGTTGTTGTAAAGTGCCATCAAGTCGATTCCAACCATAGAACCCTGTAAGGGTTTCCAAGGAGCAGCTGGTGAGGTTGAACTGCCAACCTTGCAGTTCAAACGGCTTTGCAGTCTGGCGCATTAACCCACAGCGCCATACCGGGACTCCTGTTGTACAGATAACCACATTTTATTCATTCCTTCATCAGCTGATGGGCATTTGGGTCCATCACATTTTGGCTATTGTGAATAATGCTGCTGTGAACATTCATGTAAAAGTTGTTGTAAGAACTTCTGTTTTCAGTTCTTTTGGAGACATGCCTAAGAATGGGATTGCTGGGTTAGATGGTCAGTTAATGTGTGAGCTTAAGAAACTGACAAGTTATTTTTCCAAGTGGCTGTGTATCATTTTACTTTCCCATTTAGCAGTGTATGAGGATCCCAACTTCTCTACATCCTCACTAACACTTGCTGTTTCCCTTTTGTGACCCAGTACTTATTTTGGGATGGGCACATTTTGGGAAGGAGCTCTGGTAGCATAGTGGTTACGAATCGGGCTGTGAACCTTAAGGTCAGCGGTTCGAAACTACCATCCGCTCCACAGGAGAAAGATGAGTCTTTCTGCTCCCGTAAAGATTTACACCCTCGGAAACCCTGTACAGGGTCGCTATGGGTCGGAACCGACTCGACGGCACTTAACAACAACAACAGCTTATTTTGGGATGGGCACATAGGGGTGATGGTGTGGGATGAGTGTACTTACTGATTTTACTTGGACCACGTGCTCCACCAGCTTCAGTCTATTCCTGAATGTGTCTTGGAGATATTTCACCTGAGTTAATAAATTGCTTTTTAAAAAATATTAATACTAAGAGCTAATCTCTGTGTTTTGAACTGTAGGCAGAAGATGTTAGACACTTTAATAATCAATTACAGTAATGGATCTGTGTCAGAAAAATGAAACTAATTTAGCAAAGAAGACTGAGAGTCAGAACACAGAAGAAGCGGAACTGAGCTCCCCTTGTCCAGATGAAAGAAGTGAAAGGAACCATGTTTGCTGTCTTCTGAATATCAGTGACATTACACTGGAAAAAGACAAAAACGCCAATGATTTTGTCATCAGAACTGGATGGGAAGAAGCAGTGAGTATCTCCTTGTGTTAAATCTCATGAGCATGGGTGTTTTGATGCAAACCTCTTGTCAAAAATAGTTACTGTCACTGAAACAAACAGTGAGATCTTTTTTTTTTACAAAACAAAAACTGTGTATTCATTTAAATGCCCAAAGGGCACATTTTGCAAGTTAGCCACCTGTTGAAAGGCACAAAGCCTTTCCCCACCCTTAGGCCTAGCGCCCTCAGCTGCTGTCTCTCGGTTTTCCATAGTTTCTGCCACTGTCTCTGTTGCCGCTGCTTTTTTGGATAGGATCTCACGTTCCACTCATGCTCTTCCCTCTTGACGGTTCTGGTATCCTCTATTCCTGAAATGAAACAGTAACTACTCCCCTCTTTTAGTTCCACATCTTCTACAATTACAATTGTGACAATCGCGATGAATCCTGATGACACTTATAATAACTGAATCATAAACTCCTGTCACCTTCATCCCCCACCCGCTTTCACTAGGCCCATCTAGACAAGAGGAAAATTAGTCAGTGGGGATCCTACCTTATCCCCTTCATCCTGAAACGAAGCACACTCAGGAAAGCCTGTAAGCCAGCTGCTTTGTGCCTTTATAGCCCCTATTTTTGATTGCCAATGTCTATCAACCCAGTGTACTGAGGAAACAAGCTTGGTCCTTGAAATGAAGAATCCTTTCATTTCATCCATAAACAAAGGTCCAGTCTATCAAATTGTAGCAGTTGACACTTGCCCACAGTATCACAGTTCTTTTTCTTCATCTAGTTGACTTCTGGTCAGTTGGCATTCAAGCTAGGTCAAATGGGTACAGTCTGCAAGTTTGAGAGTTCTCGCACGCCTCCCCACATTTCAGAACAGCTGGCTGCTTCACTCTCAGCTCTAGGCCCCAGTGGCTAGGTCAGTGTCCATGGGCTTGGGAGTTCACACATTTCCCTAAACTTCAGACCAGCCAGCCATTTCAACAATGAGATGGTCCAATCCTGGGAACAGAGGTGAAATACTGATGGTGAAGATGATAGCATAGCAGTTCCTCCCCCGGGGCACTTGGTATTTTACAAGTATGGTGCTCAGTGTTTCACATAAGTTAGTTCATTTAACCCCACAGTAGCTCTGTAAAGGGAACCCTGGTATGGCTCTGTAGGATAAGCACTGGACTGCTGACCACAAGGTTGGTGCTTCAAACCCACCGGCTGCTCTTCAGAAACCCTGTACAGGATTGATAAGCCTCAGAACTGACAACAGCAGCAACCCCTGTGAAATAGTCATGATTAGTAACCTCACTTTTTAGATGAGGAAGTTGGGGTACCCACGAGTGAAATAATGTGCCAGCGATCACAACCAGTTGAACTCCTGGTGTGGTACTGTAGGATCAGCACTGGGCTGCAAAATATAAGGTCAGCAGTTCAAACCCACTAGCTGCTCCTTGGAAACCCTATGCAGGGTTGCTGTGATTCGGAACTGACTCGACAGCACTTAACAGTAACAATCACAGCCAGTAAGTGGATGAAGCAGGGTTTGAATCTGGGTCTTCTGGGCCTCAGAACCTGAGCTCTTTAACCTCCGAGCTCAGAAAGGCCCGAGATTTCTATGCTAGTGGCTCTACTCAGAACCTTTATGAATATCCTTAAAATCGTCTTGGAGTCAGTGGTAGAATCCACATTCTAGAACTGAGGGGAATCTTGGTCTAGTCCAGTGGTTCCCAAGTGACATTTGGCAATGTCTGAAGCTATTTTTGGTTGTCACAGTGAAGGAGTTGCTCCTAGCATCTGATGAAAGAAAATTATGTGTGTTTGTGTGTGTGTGTGTGTGTGTGTGTGTGTGTGTGTATTAGATTGTATCCAAGGTGTCAGTGAGGCTTTTGGGGGAAAGAACCAGATTCAGATCCAGATCTGCCACTTACCAGTAGCTGAGGAGCACATTGGTTCTGAAGGATAAGCACAAGTTTGGCAGTTCATCAGCCATTCCATGGAAGAAACTTGAGGCTTTCTGTTCCCACAAGGATTCAGAGCCTCTGAAACCCTACTCAGAGTCTCTATGAGTTGGAACCGATTCCACAGCACTTAAGCACATTCTGGGGAGAGAGTTCATTTCCCTTAGTTTCTTCATCTGCAAGTTAGTTAGAGATGGACTGTACCTGCCCATGACGTGCAGTGAGAAGGACACAGTTTCTGATTTCCTGCCAACCACTCATTAGACTTTGTCAAATGTTTCTTGTTAACACTTAAGAATAATGAAAAGAAAAAAAAAAAAAGATCTGTGACGAGAAACTGAACATTTTAAATAAATACAGCATCTGCAAAGCCAGGACATGTATGAGGTGCCGAGGTGATTTGTGCACATGCAGAGACAGATGCTTTCTTGATTGAAAGAATTTCTTTTTTTCACCATGGACTTTTTGCATGAATTCTTCCAGACCTGATTTTTTTTTTTTTTAACTTTTTTATTATGAAATGAGTGAAGGTTTACAGAACAGATTATCCAGTTCCAGATTCTTCCATTATACACTTCGTATGATTGCAGCGATTGCAGTCCACTCCCGACACCATCAGTTAACAGTATTTACCCCGTCACTTCAAGTTTCGCCTCCCCTGTCCCCCTCTCCCAGCTTGTAGCCTTCATGGAACGTCTCATTTAGCAAGAAAATGTCATCTTAACTGTTTGCAACAGTGGTGTCGTGCCGTATTTGTCCTCCAGTTTCATTCACCATGATGTCTTCCAGGTTCATCCATATTGTAAGTTGTTCTACAGATCTTCTTTATTCTTCAGCGTTGCATAATATTCTGCTGTGTCTACGTACCAAAGTTTGTTTAACCATTCTTCTGTTGATGGGCACTTAGACTGTCTCCATCTTTTTGCAGTTGTTAATAATGCTGCAGTGAACGTGAGTGGATTTATACCTATTCATGTAACAGCTGTTATTTCTTGATTTATGCCAAGTAGAGGGATTGCTGGGTCATGTGGTATTTCTGTTTCCAACTTTTTGAGACAGCACCGTACCATTTTCTGCAGTGGTTGCACCATTTACAATTTCCCCCGCTGTGTAAGGAGGGTTGCAGTCCCTCACCAGCATTTATTGTTTTCTGGGTTTTTTTTTTTAACATTGCTGTTAATGCTGGAGTAAGATGCTGTCTCCTGGCATGGTGCTGTTGGTTAAGCACTGGACCCACAAGGTCACTTTGAACTTCAAGGTACGTGGTTCAGACTCATCAGTCACCCTTCGGAAGCTCTATATAGTCTGCTATGAGTCAGAACCAACTCGATGGTAATTAACAATAACAAAGATGGTATCTCATTGTTTTCATTTGCTTCCGTCAGCAGTTTGTTATGCCCAGAATTCAGGGTCCCCAAAGACCACCAAGGATCCGACACCGATGCAAGTGCACAAGGGTTGTTTATTCAAGCTCATGCTTGGACTCCACCTGCATCCGATGCAGCGGATCAGGGATAGAGCCCCGAACCCTCTGCGGGGTTTTTATAGAGTTTTCAGACAAGCTCGGGTTTCTCAGCTTTACAATTTTTGGATTGGTTAACAATTGGCAAACTATGAGATGTTACAGTTTAATTGGTCAGGACTGATGATCTTTGTTCTTAGGCTAGGGCAAAGGAAAACATCTGGCATCTGGCCTTGAGCTGCCTGGCTATTTATACATATATCATTTTCTTGGAGCTAGAGGACGCGCTAAAGCTTTTATACAAAATGGATTATTCTCTCTTTGGTTCTACAAGTTCAAAGTCACCAGGTGCTCCTTGGAAACTGTATCCAGGGTCACTATAAGTGTAAATCAGAACCAACTCTATGGCACTTAACAACAACAATGACTGATGATCATGAACGTTGCTTCGTATGTTTGTTCATGTGTGTTCATGTCTTCTGCCCATTTTAAAAATGGGATTATTTGTCTTCTTCTTGAAGTGTTGTATAAATTTTAGAGAGTAATCCTTTGTTTGATAAGTCATTGCCAAAACCTTTTTCTCAATTTGTGGGTTCTCTTTTTATTCTTCTGGTGAAATCCTTTGATGCCCTTAAGTGTCTAATTTTTAGGAGGCCCCAGTCATCTATTTTGTCTTCTGTTTGTGTGTTTCTAGTTATGTTTCATAGTGCATTTATGCCATGTAACCGAGCCCCTAAGTTTGTCCCTATGTTTTCATTGATGATCTGTTCAGTTCTAGGTTTTACATTTGGTCTTTAACCCACAGTGAGTTCATTTTTGTGTATGGTGTGAGATATGGGAACTGTTTCCTTTTTCTGCAAATGGATTTCCAATTTTGCCAGCACCATTTGTTGAAGAAACTATCTCTTCCCCCATTTAAAGCATTTTGGCCCATTATTGAAGATCAACTGACTATAGGTAGATGGATTTGCTTCTGGGTTCTTAATTCTATTCTATTGATCTCTGTGCCTTTCGTCGTACCAGTACACAGCACTGTGGCTATGTAGGAGGATTTGAGTTCAGGAAGTAAGAGGCCTCCTACTTTGTTCTTTTTTAATAATGTTTTGTTTGTCTGGGGTCTCTTTCCATATAAAGTTAGTTATTAGTTTTTCCATCTCTATGATGTTTGAATTTTGATTGCAATAGCATTGTATCTATAGATTGCTTTGGATAGTGTTAACATTTTCATAGTGTTAAGTCTTCCTATCAGTGAGCAAGGTATATCTCCCCATTTCTACAGGTCTTTTTTGTTTTTTTTCTAATAGCATTTTATAACTTTCTTTGTATGGATCTTTTGTTTCTCTGATTAGATTTCTTTCCAAGTATTTAATCTTTTAGGCAGCTCTTTAAATGGTATTGTTTTCCTGATTGCCCTTTCAGAGCTCTCTTTGTTAGTATAAAGGAAGCCAACAAGTTTTGTATGTTATCTTATACCCTGCCACATTGTTGAATCTGTCACTGGGTTCCAATAATTTTCTTTGGGTTTCTCTAAATACAGGATTATACTGTCTGCAAACAGAGTTTTACTTCTTTGCCAATTTTGGTGCTTTTAATCTCCCTTTCTTGCTTTATA